ACAAGGGCCGGGAGCAGCAGGAGGGATGGTGGCTGGGAAGCCCCTTCCTCTGGTCCAGGAGCAGTGGGATTGTGGCTCAGCAGCCCCTACCTCTGGGCTGGGAGTGGTGGGAGGGATGGTGGCCCGGAAGCCCCTTCCTCTGGGCCAAGAGTGGCAGGACAGAAGGTGGCCCTAAAACCCTATCCTCTGGGCTGGGAGCAGAAGGAGGGATGGTGGCCGGGAAGCCCCTTCCTCTGGACCAGGAGCAGTGGGACAGTGGCTCAGAGGCCCCTACATCTGGGTCGGGAGTAGTGGGACTCAGTGCCATGGTCTGGTGGTCCGGTGTCCTCTGCGTCTTTGTAGTGTGGAACCAGGTGGCTGCACAGAGGAGTGGGGGTGGGGGTCCCGTGGATTGTTGCTGGGGCAAAGGCTGATTCTGCATGTTCCGCGCAACTGGGGACCTCCGTAGGGCATGCGCAGACCTGCCTATCTGCAGCGGGCTAATTCGGCATGTTCTGCCTGACTGGGGACCTCCATAGGGTGTGCCATTAAATGCATTTTTGACTTATGATGTTTACAAGTCATGATGAGTTAGTTGGCATATATCACCATTGCAAGTTGGAGAACATTTGCACTAGTAAACCACATTCAACCATACATCAAAGGGGAATGCTCATTCTCACCACTTCTGTTCAACATGGTACTGGAAGTCCTAACCAGAGTAATTAGGCAAGAAAAAGAAATAAAAACATTGAAATAGGAGAATAAAAAGTAAAATTATCCTTGCTGATGACTTTATCTTATACATAGAAATCTATAAAGATGCCACCAAAATAACTGATAGAACCAATAGACAGATTAGTGTGGTTGCAGGATACAATATCAACACTGTCTAGATTGGTAACATTTGTATATATTAACAATGACTCTCAGAAAAAGAAATTAAGAAAATCTCATGTACAACAGCATCAAAAAGCAAAATACTTAGGAGTAAATTTAACTGAGGTCATGAAAGATCTGTATACTGAAAACTATAAAACATTGGTGAAAGAAATTGAATATAATGCAAATAAGTGGAATGAAACCCTAAGTTCATAGACTGGAAGAGTTGGTATTGTTTAAATGTCTATAATAAAAAAATATGTATTCTTTTCTTCTTTCCTTTCCCCTTCACCTACCCCTTTGGACCTTTTCTTCCTATTTCAAATTATCAATTATTCATTTTAATCATTTTAATTCTTATTTACACTTTTAGTTTCTCACACTAGAGAAACCATTTGGTATTTACACATGTGTGTCCTATTTATTTCACTTAAGAGTATGTCCTCAATATGCATCCACTTAGCTATAAATGTCTCTAGTTTCTCATTCTTTATGGCTGAGTAGTTTTTTTTTTTTATAAAAAAACCCACATCTTTATCCAGTTTCCAGTTGATGGGCCCTTGGGCTGTTTCCAAGCTTTAGCTATTACAAACTGTGCCGCTATAAACATGGGTGCACATATATCACTGTGGTATGATTCTTTTAATTATTTGGAAGGGAAGGGGAAAGGAAAGAAGGGAAAGGAAAAATTATGAGAAAATGAAAAAATGGGAACAAAGTCTTTGTAAATAGGGAAGGGAGGGAAGGGCGCACAGGTAATGGGGAAAAAATAAGAACTTGTACAGGTACAAGCACCCAATGATAAATGTAAACGTATTGTATACCTAAAATGCACCAATAAAAGAATTTAAGCCAAAAAGAAGAGAAAGAGAAAGAATATTGATATATAAATAGGTCTTATGATACTAATCTACATAAAAATCATCTATCTTTCCAGTGAAATCTCAGTAAATTCAGTAAGATCCAAAAAAAAAAAAAAAATTTGTAGACTTAATACAATTCAAATGTTATTCATCACAGAAATACAAAAAGCATCCTAAAATTTATATGGAACTACAAAAGACCTTAACAAATAAAGCAATGACCAAAAAACAAACAAAAAACACAAACTGGAGACATCATACTACTGAATTTTGAAATATATCACAGAGCTGTAGTAATCAAAACAACACAGTACTGGTATAAAGATACACATTTCAACCAACGGAATAAGACGAAACATCCAGAAATAAATCTACGTATCTATGGTCAATTGATTTTTGACAAAGGAACCAAGAACACACAATGGGGAAAAAATAATCTCTTTGATAAATAGTGTTGGAAAAACTGCATATCCACTTGTGGAGGAATGAAAGTGAACTCATCTGATGCCCTTAAACACTGAAATGTAAGGCCCTGAGCTTTGAAACTATTAGAAGATGACACAGGGGAAATTTTCCACATTGTTATGAGCAGTGATTTTATGGGATATGACCACAAATCAAGACAATAAAAGCAAAATTAGGCAAATGGAATTACATCACACTAGACAGCTTCTGCATAGCAAAGGCAACAATTAACAGAGTGAAGAGATGACCCTGAGTGGGAAAACTATTTGCAAAACATACCAGCTAAGGGACTAACATTCAAAATACAGAGGGAACTCAAACTAGTCAATAAAACAAGTAACCCTATTAAAAATAGGGAAAAGACTGGCGTGATATTTCTCAAAAGAAGGCAAAGAGAAATAAATGAAAAAATGCTCAAATACTACAATTGAGAACATGCAAATTAAAATCACAGTGACACACCTCCTATCATTAGATTGGATATGATCAAAATGCTGAATAATAACAAATGTTGATAAGGAAAAAGAAAACAGGGAACACTTCTACACTGTTAGTGGTATTGTAAATTAGAACAGCCATTTTGGAATATAGTATAAAGTTTCCCCCAAAACCTAAATATATAACTGCCATAGATCCAGCAATTCTGCCTCTGGGTGTGTATCCAAAGGATTTAAATGAGTATGATGGAGATGTATCTGTACTCTTGTGTTCTTTGTAGCATTATTTACAAGAGCCATAATATAATAATAATGGAAGTGTTCATTAGTGGGTGGATGGACAAAGAACATGTATTACATATACACAATGAGATGTTATTCCGCTCTTAAATAGCAGGAAATTTTGTCATTTGCAAAAATATGGATGAAATTGAAGGACATTATGCTAAGTGAAAATAAGCCAGGCTTGTGTGTGGAATCTAGCAGCGTAGAGTCATACAAGCCTAGTGTGGAATGGTGGTTACCTGAGTCCGGAGGTGGTTGGTTGTGCACAGGAGTCAGAGGGCACAAACTGCAGTCATAGAGGAGAAGTCCGGGAGGACCACTGCACAGAATGGTGAGTACAGCTAATAATGTACTGTATATTTCAGAAAAACAGAAAGAGTACATTTTAAGTATTCTCATCATAAAGAAGTATTTGAGGCAATGGATATGTTAATTAGACCTATTTGATTATTCCACAGTATGCATATGTACCCCAAAATCATTTTTCTCCCCATAAATATATAGTTGTCAATTAAAAATAAAACTTAAAAATTAAATACAGATATATCAAATATTGAGTTTATAAAACATTTACAAGTAAACAAAAAAATCTTTATTTGTAGATATGTCAAAAATCCTAATGAACTACAAAAAAACTAAAGCTAATATATGTGCTTAACAAAGCACAGTATACAAGATTAATATACAAAATTTGAATGTTTTTATACTAGAAATGATAATTTCAAAGTTGAAATTTAGAAAATACTCTTTACAGTAGCATAAAAAACTGCAAAAATCTCAGATGCAAGTCTTGCAAAACAGAAATCTGAGACCTGCATATGCAGAGAGAAGCTTTTAAGCACTTAAATAAATGGAGAGATATACTGTGTTCGTGAATTGGAAAACTCAATATTATTAAATTGTCAATTAGCTGTAGATTTAATGCAGTCCTAATCAAAATCCCAGCAGGTTTCTTACAGAAATTGGCAGGATAATTTTAAAACACCTAAGAAATGCAAAAAGATTCAGGATAGCCAAAACAATTAGAAAAGGAATAAATTTACAAGACTTACACTAAAAATCCAATAATCAAGAGATTGTAGTGTTAGATTTATTGATCAAGTGATCAGAATAAAGCTCAGAAACAGACCTACTTATGAAGGATAAATTTATTCTTACACAAAGGTGCCAAAATAATTCGTTATGTAAAGAATAGTGTGTTCTTTTAGTAGTACCACAGCATTTGGACATCCATATGCAAAACTGTGATCCTTACATCATCTTATAAGATATATAAAAATTAACATGACGTGGATTATAGACTTGACAGTTAAAGTCAAGAACTAAGAATTCTAAAAACAGGAGTGTGAAACTGTTTTTCTCACTGGGGTTAGGCAAAGATTTCTGAGGTAGGGCATAAGCAAAACAAAACTGAACCTTTAAAAACAAAACTAACCTTTAAAAAACAAATGGATAGGACTGTATCCAAAATTTAAAACTTCTGGCCTTTGAAAGACATTTTTACTGGCAAAAATATTTCAAAAATACATATCTGATAAATGACCTGTATCCAGATTAGATAGAGAGAAATTCTTACAGCTCAGACAAACAACCCAATTAAAAGTATGAAAAAATATCTGAACAGATACTTCACAAAAGGTGCAGAAATGGCTAACAAGCACGCAGAATGAGATCACCATCATTAGTCATGAAGGAAATGCAAATTAAAACCAGAAGGAGATGCCGCTACACCCCACTGGCATGGCTAAAATTAAAAGGACTGACAATATCAAGTGTTGTCGAGCAGATGACACAATTGGATCTCTCATTCATGCCCTGTGCGAATCCAAATACAGTACAGCTACTTTGGAAAGCAGCTTGGCAGATTCTCATAACATTAAACATACACATGGCATAGGACCCAGAAATTCCACTCCTGGTTATTTTCCCAAGGAGGAGAAACATATGTCTCATAAAAACCTGTCTATAAATGCTCAGAGCAGATTTATTTATAGCAGTCCAAAACTGGCAGGAAGATAAGTGTCCACCAGCCAGTGAACAGATAGAAGTTGAATACCCACATAGCACAGACCTGCTAGTGATAGAGACAGGCTCTTGGTAGGTGCAAGACCACGAACAAATCTCAAAAGCATATTGAATTAAAGAAGTCAGCCACAAAGGGCAGCATGCTGTGCGGTTCCATTTATAGGACGTCCTAGAAAAGGCAAAATTACAGGGAAAGAGGCAGATCAGTCGCTCCCAGGGGAAGTAGGGTGGAGCAGGAGGTTTGAGGGAAACTTGGGATGATTGAAATATTCTTCAAAGAGGGATGAGGGAAATTTGGGGTGGAAATGTTCCTACTGTCTTCATCGTGGTAGTGGTTACACAATTGTAAACCTTTGTCAAAACTCACCACGTGTATTGAAATAAACATGATGAAAAAGGACATACTCTGTATAGACTTGGTATTTGAAAAAACCAAAAGAACACTTTTAACTATTTCATTAAAAACTCTTTACAATTTGTTATAATATTATATTTTTGGGATGAGTGGTATGATGAATTGGTTCAGAACATGGCCCTCAAAGTCAGACCAGTCTCAAGCCCTGTAGCTGCCATTTACTATCAGAATGATCTTATGCCAGCTGCTTCATTTATACCTCATAGAATTACGGCAGGGATTTAATGATTCACATTAGGGACTGCGTAACTGACTGGGCCATGACAAATATTCATCAAACTTTGGTTATTTGAAAAACGTTTAGAAACAGCCTTGGTGAGAAGACATACATGTGAATGAATGAATCAACGCATGAATGGATGAATGAATTTACATGAGAATAACAGAAAAAGAGTAAGTGGAAAGTGAGGAATAGCATAAAACAAAAATGTTTATGTCTGGAGAAGGCAATGAAGACTTTCTGGGGATAACTACGACTAAGATACATTTGAAAAATGAGCAAAGGATGTAACATGCACTGATGTACTGGAGAATGACACACAGTTTGGGATCTGGGGACTGATGAGAGATGCTGTCAGAAGAATCAATCAGAACAAGGATCTCGAAGGCCAGTTTAAGTCTCGTTGCTTCTCCTCATGTGGTAGATGACTGGGGTCAGATAGGACAGGTGCAGATTAGATTTGCATTGTACCCAGGTGACTTTGCTCACCCTGGAGAAGACGGACTGGTGCTAGATTGAAGCTGGAGAATGAGAGACTGCTCCAAACACTTGTGAGATGAATCCAGGGAAAGGACAGGAACATTCTATGCTGGGGCTATGGGAATAGGAAGATGATAATGAATTCGAGAGACTTTTAGAACCCAATAATTATATGAAGGACAATGAATATCAGACTTCATGTTTGGGTAGGTAGGTAGGCGATAGGACCCCTGACAAATGGAAAGCATGTTTATGCTGGGGAAATGATGCATTTAGTTGATATTTGAGCTAGAGTTCAGTATCAAAGTTGGATGAGGAACAGTGTACATGGCAATTAAAGGCACAGATGTGAAAAAAAAAAAACCACTCCAGAAAAGCACATAGTGTGAGAAGAAAGGCAGAAATAGATCCCTGAGAAATATCAATATTTAAGGCTGTAGAGAAAAGATTTTAAATAATGGTCAGGAAAATAGGAGGAGGGTCAAAAGCAAGTAACATTAAAAGAAACTGGGGCCAGGGATTTAGCTTAGTGGTTCTGGCGCCTGCCTCAAAAGCACAAGGACTGGAGTTCAATCCCCAGTACCAAGAAAAAGAAACTACAGAGTTTCAAGAATGAGTCATCATCAAGAGTGTCATTATGTAGCAGCAGTATCAAGGAAAACAAAGACTAAGATATTCTTAATGGAGTTGGATAGTTTTAGGGCTGAGGAGAGTGAATGGTAAGTGAAAGATGTGAAAGTATCTGACCCAGGCCATTCATAATAACCTGGAGGGGACAGAGAATTGAACGGTGCTAGGAGATACAGGATTGCTACTGCGAAGGGAAGAGTCCCCCAAAGAGTCATGTGTTCAAGAGTTGATCCCTAGGGTGTCACTACTGGGAGGTGCTGTGGACCTTTGGGAGACAGGGGCGAGTAGAGGGTCTAATGTTATTGGGGTGTTCACTCTGAGAGGATTGTGGGACCCCAATGCCTTCTTTTCTGGCTCTTCTGCTGCCTGACTCACGAAGTAAGTGTGTGGCTCTGTCTCGTGCCAGAGAATGGGGCCACTCAGTCAGTCTTGGACTGGAACTTCCGGAAGCATAAACCAAAACCAATCTCTGTATATGTTAATGGCCTTAGGCACTTCGTTATAGCAACAGAAAGCTAACACAAAGACTGAGGAAAAGTGCTGCTTTTGTAAGACACAGGAGTGACTTGACTGTATATACCAGTGATGGAAAAAGACGGAGAAGGGAAAATGCCAAACATAGAAGAAGGTCAAGGTCAAACCTGGAGATGGAGATCAAACCAGGTATTTGACCACAGAAATTGCAATATAAAAAATTATGAAATATGCATAAAACTGTCAGGTAATTTAAAAGGTGGGAAGAGAACAACAACAACAGCAACAGAAAACAGGGCTGTGGCGATTGTAAGATGCATCCAGCAAACTTCATTCAGGCTCAAGGCCGGAGGAGGGCAGGAGCCTGCAAAGTGTAACAGGAGAAGGAGAGGCAACTACAAGAATATTTTATCCAGATGGCATTTGAGCCGGGTTTAAATAGAAATGAAAGAATCTTTCAAGAGCTGCATATAACCTAGCAAATAGCATGTGCTTAATACACAGTCGCTGAAAAATAAAAGTAGGGAATCGGGTGAGCAAAAATCCAGAGGAGAAAAGTCTGGAAAACCGGGGGAAATGAGGTTTGGCTGGGGCTTGAGTGGTAGAGTGGGAAGAAAGCTGCCCATAGAACGGGAATGGGCAGGCAGCCTGGAACACCAGGGGAATGTGTTGAAAACGTACCTTCGGAAGCCACTGACGTTTGGGTAGGGAAAGGACAGGCTTAGAATAAGGGCTTCTAGCAGCTTGATGTGTGTATGCAGCAAGAAGAAGGGGTAAGAAGCCGAGGTCATCAGCTGTAAAGCCAGACATGACGGCAGGGGTTGGGGTGAGGACGTGAGGGGGAACAGTGAGGGAACAAACTGCTGGTGGCCGACCGGTGGCTTAACTGCTGTTCGCCACTGGCGTGTGGGAGTAGCGAAGGAAGAAACGAAGCAGGTTCTTGTTTTCTTCATCTGGGCTGTGGGGAAGAATGGCGGACGAGGAGATCTGGTAGGGCCAAGATGAGTTCTGAGGAGGCTCTGCATCTTATTTCCCGCTCCAAAGCACTTTACTCGGGAAAGAGGACGCGCCAGGCTCCTCCGTGACCAACTGAAGCCCAGGGCTGGACAAAGGCCACGCGGGAGAGGAGCGCGCTCCCGCAGAAGTGCGCAGGCGCCGGGAGGCGTCGCCTAGCAACCAAAGACAATTGTGGTTTGCGCCGGTAGCAGCCGTGGCGGTCGCTGGGTGTGAGAAGCCCAAGCTCTGCGGGGCCTCCCGACAGGTACGGGAAGGCGGGCGGCCGCACACCCGGCTCCTCCGGGCAGAGAAAACCAGGGCGGAGGCTGGAGCAAAGCTTGGGCTCAGTACTGGTGGGGAACTCCTTCTCGGGCTGTGCCTGCCCAGCGCCCAGTGTTGCCTGCCCTCGGCGCCCTTTAATTTAACAGGAGGCAAAGCAGGTTCTTGGAGGGCACGGGTGTGTGTGTGTGTGTGTGTGTGTGTGTGTGTGTGTGTGTGTGTCTAAGATTCCATTGCTTGACTGAGCAGTTTAAGAAGTGGGGCCCGGCTTACACCGCCCCCTCCTCTTCCCCCTTTAAATCTGTTCAAAACATTGTTTGCCTTAGAAAATATTTAAGATTGTGGGCCGAAGCTGTGTACGGGAGAAATATGAGTGACCGATAAACTCAGGCGGGGAAGAGTGGCTCTAGAAGATGCACATTTACTAACTTTATGTCTTGTTTTCCTAATACCATGAACTTGGAACCTCTTGCCCAGTCCTTTCACTCTTGCAGATTTATCCTAAATACATAGTTGGGGACGTGGGTGAAAGTTTTATGGCTAAGGATGTTCACTGTAGCCTAATCCATGATTCCTGAAAAATTGGAAATAAGAGACTGATTAGATAAATAATGAATTTTAAAGTATTATTTAAATGATGTATTATGCTGATTCACTGAAGAATTTTGGAGCAATAAATGGAGATGACTGACGGGCTTGTTAAGAATTTAGTGGGAAGATAGTCCCACGACGGCACAGTGGACTAGGGAATAGAAATCCAGGTAGGATGATAAAATCATTATAGAAAACACGCACACAAAGGAACTATATTAAATAGTACTCATCTCCCGGAGCTTACCTTGAGTATTTAAAAAATCTTATTCATTATACCATTCTTTGCCTTCAAAATTCTCTACAATAAAATATATTGCCTTTATATAGAAAAAATTAGGGATCTCAGAGGCTTATTGCCCCTGGTTTATATTGGCCGTTTACTCTCTTCCTGGCTATTATATCTAAGGTGGTGATAAAACTTAGCCGCAGTACTGCCCAGGACCAGCTTTGTCAATGCAACACAGGATCATTAGGTTATTCGAGCCTCTGAGTTCTTCATTATGCAATTGCTTAAAACAGTATCACGATCGCTTCTCAGCCTTTTGGCTAAGATCAAGTGTAAAACAGTATCATGAAATAGGAAAAACTATTGCCTGAGTGAAAATCAGTTGATGTAATACAACTTTATGGAGGTGTAATTTAATCCATAAGGAATTCTTTTATAAATCAGAGGCTGTTATGTCTTGGAATTGTTATAAAGAGCTATGAACCATTGTTTTCCTAGAGATTAACTGTGGGATGGCTTTTCATTTGTCCAGAATAGTTTCTACATCTACCCAAATCATTATATGCATAAGGCCTAGACCCTGTGGAATTTTCATGCATCTGTTAAAGATAGTTGAGATTTGAAAAAACTTGGCACTAATATAGGAAAAGAAAACTTAAAAGTTAATATTAAATGTTTTTATTAATATTAAATTTTCATTGCATTTGAAAACAATTCTCTAATTTGACAAGAATTTCCAAGTGTGTTAGTTGCTGAGTAGTTTCAAGTGCAAAAATTTTATTTTTTATATATTTTTTAATTTTTTGTTTGGTACCTGGGATTGAACTCAGGACATTGCACTTGCAAGGCAGGTGGCAGCACCACTGAGCTAAATTCCTGGCCCCAAATGCAAAAGTTTGTATGATAAAAATTGCATTTAATAGAGGAGGTGGTGGATACATTTTAACATATTGAATATAGTATAAGATAGTGCATCGCAGAGTAAGTTTGCCTTCATGTAGCCTGCCGTTAATGACCTGGACTAGGTGTCTTTCAGAGGTCGCCATGAGTTTCTATGGACATGAGGCTTTTTAGCATTTGTAACACATGCTTCTCAGTATCTCTAATGGTAGGCATTGCTTTTGATCCTTGACAAGCAATTTCAACTAACCCTGACATTATAGATTCTCTCCAAGGGTTTTCTACTTTCCAGGATTTCTCTCTCAAGACTATGGTAATTTCATTGAGGCTAGATTATGTAATACCACCACTCCCATTGAAGAAAACTAGTAAGAGCTGAGTATTCTAATGGGCATCGACATCGTGGGAAGTTGTCTGTACTCAGTAGAGTTTTTCCTCTGGGTAATGTCAGTATGAAGGTAGGTGGAAAAAGATCTTGCAAAGAGCGAAGAGTAACCCCAGTTTCCTCAGAATACGTTTCTTCTCAGTTGCTTTGTTGTTGAGCTATGGATTATGCTGGAGAAAATTCCTACTTTGTGGCACAAACATTCTGGCAGATCCCCAAAGTGACTTGGATTTAGACTCTCAAGCCCAGTGTAAGTGAGCTGTAAGCATGGTAAACTATTTCCTGTCATGTAAGTAAAATCGGGGTGTTGATGACATGTTTGTACATGTACAATAATTTCCACATGTATTGCATTTTCTCTTATTCGGGAAAATGTAAAGGAGAAAGTAAACCTCTCAAGAACTTGGGTAACTGAGAACTGTATACGTTTATAAAGCACAAATGCCACTTTAATCATTTTTGTATCTTTTTCCAGGATGGGTAAAAAGATAAAGAAGGAAGTAGAACCTCCTCCTAAGGATGTGGTAAGTTTCTGATTTGAGTACTAGTAGCATTTTAACTACCCATTTTAAAAATAAATTGTTCAAACTGTTTGGCATGTACCAGTATATACATGAATCCATGGTGGCGGAAGTCCAAAGTCTGACTAATGATAAGATTACTCAGAGAAATCTAACATTATGTAAGCAAACATTTACAACATTGTCATTACATAATTAGCACAATTAGAGAGTAATTATTAGCTTTTCTAGTATGTGGATGGCATGTTTATAGCCTAGTTAATGAATAAATAGTTTTGATTCGTTCTTTCAAGTACTTCACATTTACATTTGCCAGTTTCTCATTAATGTGAACTATCCAAGTGAATTTTCAAAAATAAGGAGAAGTTGGATTTGTACATGAGATTGTCTGGTGATAACCTTGGACATGAGAAATACTGTATTTTCCAGTTCTATCAAAAAAGTAGTCTGTGGAGGCCGGGGATTTATCTCAGTGGCATCACCGTCTGCCTCGCAAGCGCATGGTTCCAAGTTTGATCCCAGGTACCAAAAAAAAGGTAGTCTGGGATCCCCAGATTTTTCTGTCCCAAATTCTAAGTGATGGATTCCCTCTACAGAGAACTGTTCTCCATTTAAGCATGGTTTTATGTGTTCTCTTTAATTAAAAAGAAAGATTATAGTAAAAACAGGAAATGAACTTTGACAATTTTCAGTTTAGAAACTTATCTGAAAACAGACTGCAGTGTGACTTCTTTCAGATAAAATGTAAGTAGAAAAGAAGTGAAATAGTGGACAGACTCACAGGATTGTGGAGCTTGTAGCAACTTGGACTTGCTGCACATATTTCCTCTCCCAAATGGAGCATCATGGTTAAGGGCTTTGTCCCAGCTCTGCCTCTCATGAAACATATTATTTTGGCCAACTTGCCGAATTTGGCTAAATTAGTTCATTTTTTCTTTAACTCTTTGATGGAAATTATACTCTCTAACTCCTCTGGATTATTGTGTAAATTAAGCCAAAATAAGTTACAGGAAGTTGTTGGTACCCACCACGTACATAGCACTTAGCAAATAAAATCTGTTGTCATGGGAATCTCCTGGACTCTGCTGTACACACTCACACTCACACTCAATCCTCTCATGTCCTACACAACCACATAGGTGTGAGATTTCTATACAGTTAGAACAAAAGCTATTGAAGGGCCCGTGTGGCCCAGTTCCCCGGACCTCTCAGAGGCAGTCATTGTGGTCTCATGATGTAGTTTCATCATTGTGGTGGTTTCTTTGGACGTACTTCGAAAACGTGGCAGATCTTTTCATTTATTCAGTGCATCCTAGGCTTACATCACCCTACTTTTTTTTGTACCAAATAGAATTATCAGTATTTTCTTAGCAAAAAGTGGACTCATGAACACAGTTCTTGGCAACAAACACATCCTGAGTAAAATTAGAATTAAGGGACTAATAAGCAACAGATAAATTTGTCTAATACATTTTCTATTATTTTATGGCAGTCTTTCTGGTATTGTTCTCTGTATGTCAATCTTTGGGGACACAATGGAGGGCTTAAGAAATGAAATCCTGGCATTAAAAAAGCAGATCTTACTTCGTCAAGTCACACAGCCTGGTGGCAGCTAAAGACACATATAACAATTGTCAGTGACCTCTAACTACTTATTGCCTCTTCCAAGCATCTCTCATCCTTTCCTCTCTCTGACTTTCTATTAATAAAACTCATAGAGTAGTGTTAAAATATACAGCCCCCTTTTCAACTTTGTAAACTCGAATACCTCAAAACAGTATACTGCAGTTTACAGGATCCTAACTTGGAATTTATTTCAGAGTCTACTCCTTTAGTCTATAAAAGGTTTGCTCTACAAATTGTAAATGAAAATTGAATTCAGGACAGGGGATTTAGCTCAGTGGTTTTGCTGCCTGCTGCATAAGCACAAGGACCTGAGTTCGATCTCTGATTAAAAAAAAAAAAAATTGAATTTAAATAAAGACTATATCATTTCTTAAGACAATAAACTTTTCCTGATCAGTTAATGGTAATTTGCACCCCATCTATTTCCTAGGGACATTGTTTCCAATGATTTTAATTTTATTAGCTTTTGTCTACTGGTTAAATTGGGTAATAGAGTCAGCATGAATGTTTGGTGATATGATTAAAACAAGATGCTCCTTT